AAAAGAAGAAAACAGGATGTTTTTTAAAAAGGTGTGTCTTGTGGAGTATTTTATGGTTCCCAGAGTTAGTGTAGTGAGACAGTTTTTACTGGTAGAATTGGAGTTGGAAAATACAGATCTGGATGAGTTTGGTGGTTCCAGTCGGGCACTGCTGCCTGCATCACTGACTAACTTGGAAGAACAGCTTCAAGTTCCCGATGCTGCTGTTGGGTTTCAGTCTACAGATGTCTGTTGAGAGCATCTTGCACACATTCATACCATGTAGAACATCAGTCACAATTCTTTTGTATATTTGAAACTTGAACACCAGGTTTTCTCCCCTAATTTCATCTCTTGGTGATTTATTTTCTTTTTCTTTCTTTTCTTTTTTTTTTTTTTTTGAAAACACGGTTTCTAAATAATGTCACCTACATCCTGGTTAAAGGCCAGGATTTCCAGAACCTTGTTGTTGACCTAACAATACAGATTTGTAAACCTGGACAATGAAATTTCCCACCGAAGACTCAGTGGAAGAAAGAACTCCCTGAAGATTCTTTTTAAAGGCATATGGGGTGCTTTTGGGGTGTCTTCTGTTTCCTGTGTAGGCCATGCTGCATATCTTGGGATAAAGGACACTCACAGTGACACAAAATGTCAACAGTATCTACAGGGATGCTCAGATCTATTTATCTCAAAGGATATTTGAAGCGATTGCTGTTAAGTGTTGTCATTTTAAATTGTGTGTCAGTGAAGCTACCTGTACATCTTCAGTCCAAAAAAAAAACAAAAAACAAAAAACAAAAAAAAAAAAAACAAAACAAAGCTCTCAGGGAGAAATGATGAAACAATGAACATTAGAAAATAAAATATAGATGCTTACCACTGACCTGCCAACTCTTAGTATCCTTAAATTATATGGTATGTAAAAAGGACTGTTACTATTTTTTTTCCTTTTGCTTTATTTATTTGTACTTGGGTGTGGGGAGGGACTAGTGTTTTCTGTTTTCCATCTATCCTTTTGTGGTTGGGTTTCCTGTGGAAAGAGTAGTTTTTCCTATTGCACTAGAATATTATTTACTCACTAAATTGAGTTTTTCAGTCAAGTATCAAATATTTATTAAGCACTTACTATGTACCAGGCATAGTAGAGCTATAGTGGTAAGCAAGACAGAGTCCCTGCCCGCCAAGGAGTTCACACGTTAATAGGGTTTTCAGGGACAATAGAATGCCAGTGTGCATAGTATACAAGGAATCATAGCTATTTAAAAATAATCTGTATGAACTATAATGCTTAGTGCAGATGGCAAGGGATCTGTGCTGTGTAAAAACTGTGAAACAGTGCTCTAAGAATTGTCGAGAGCTGTGGTTTTTTACCCTTTGTTTTTCTTCATTGAAAGCATAGCGACTTTCTACCCATTATATGGAAGTAAATGGCTCTCCAATAAAGCAGCCACAGGTACAAAGCAGAGCTGACTCCTGGCCCCAAGCTACAGTGTCTGCAAGCACACCATGGCCGCGGTGCTGCTTATGGAGACATAGCTCAGCGAGCTTGGAGGGAGGAGGATGGGATGGAATGATGGCTTCCTCTGTCCCTGACTAAGTGCCTCTGTGTATATTCTTTTCTATTTATAGCAGGAAAAGTTTGGTCGAGCTCAGTTTTGGAACTGTGGAAAGACACTCACACCAGAGAGCAAGTGTGTGTAGCATGTCCCCTTGCCCTTTTAAAACCATCCTCACCTTGATGTAGCCATCCTGGTAGGCCTCCTTTGCCATTCCCAATATTCGTTTATTTTCCAAAAAACTGTGTGCAGGTAATTCCATGTGCCATTGTTACAAACAAACAAATGAAAAATCTACTTTTTAGACTGGTGCTGGTGTAAGTAGCCACTCTTATCTCTTGAGTATGTATTTTAAAGATTTTTTTAATAATGCGAAAAAGAAAAAGCATTATAATTTTTAAACTTAATTAAATGTCTCGTATCTTATTAGCTTGGTAGTTGGAACCACTTAGTCTTTAGGTGCAAGACTGTTGTTACAGAACCAAGAAAAAAAGATGTTGTATGTGTGTTATGAGACTGTACATTTTTTTAAATAGCAATATGCAATAAAGATGACTTCATTGGGTGTACATATGTGTTTTCTATGAATTATTAAAATAGCATCATTATACTACTTAGTGCATTCCACCATTGAATTTAAATGTTGCAAATCAGTAGGTCAGAACTATGTATGTATTTTTTTAATGTGTTTGTGCTGGAGCCAAAGGAGTATAGTTTCCTATTGTGTGCTTGGTCTATGGGGCACATCTGAGTGAGGTATGCTGGAGCATCAGTCTCCAGAACCCACACCTTCCCGTTGTGGAGCATTCTGATGTGTATCAGTATGAGAAAACGCCACCAGTATAGAGAAAGGGGGGTTTATTAGCACCCTGGAACACAGAGGCTTTCCGCTGGTCTCCCTTCAGCTCAGTCCAGTTTGAAGGCAAGCAACTGTCAAGCTCTCCGAACCCTGACCTTTCTGATCTTTGGATGGACTCAGTGTTCTGATAACTGCCGCCAGTTTTGTTTGCCATTAAGTTACCCGATAACTGCATTTTAACCTAACCTGTTCTCTGCAGCTGTTGTTCAGACAGGAGAGACATCTGCATGTCAGACAACCTATCCTACAAAGTCTCCAGTCTCTCTGTGAGTGTAGAGCTACATACAAAACCATGTAGAACCTTGCTTGATACATGGATAGAAACATGGTAAGATGTGAAGACCTTAGATCATGATAGTCCATTTAGTCTTCACTTACCCAACTGTGACAGTAGCTGGGTAAATGCTCACTTCTAGCAGTGCCGTCCTATGCTCCATCTAGAATTTTGCCCCTTTTCTGCAGCCTGATGTGGGTGTATATGCAGTAAATTGGGTAGTGTGTTCACATGTTATGTGAACAAGCTTGTTTGCACATATATGTGCATGCATATGGAGTCCTGAAGTTGACATGGGTGTATTAATCAGTCCCCACCTTACTGAGGCCATTCAGCCTCTCACTGAACCCAGAGTATGCCAATTCCGGCTCCTGATTCTGGCTAGCCTAACTTGCTGGTTTGTTCTGGGGATCCCTTATCCTGCCTCCTGAGTGCTGGGATTGTAGGCCATCACAACCCCTGCATCGGAGGATCTTAACTCTATCTAGTCCCTGTATTTTCCAGGCAGAGCCATCTTCCCAGGCCAGATTGAACATACTGATTTGTTCATAATCATTCCAAATGACAGATTCTGGGAGGGAAAACTTGCAGGTGTTTCCATTGGGGGGTGAACACAGGAAACTTAAGGCCAGGCAGCTCCTGGACAGGTAGTTGAGTAAACACCAGCTTTGGAGTATCTGGGGTAAGGGAGCCAGGACTTCCTGCCTCCAGGTTACTTATAGGCTCTAACACTGAGTTCTGCTTATTAACTCTGGTGTTTACATTGTGTTACATTTCTGTATGCTCTCTCCCAACAATATGAATTTCACTCAAGTTTAAAATTTTGTTGAGGGGGCAAGATAAAATGGCTCAGTGGTTACTGGTACTTAGTGCAGAGGAACCAATAATTCTATATCTGGGTGTCTAATCTAGAAAAAAAAAACATTCACAAAAAGAAATACTAATGCTATACATATTGGGTGGGGCTTGAGAGATTGCTCAGTGGTTGTGAGAACACTTTGCTCTTGCAGAAGATCTGGGTTCAATTCCCAGCACCCACACAGTGGCTCACAGCCATCTTTAACACCAGTTCCACAGGATCCAACA